ACTAACTTCTTTGCCTTTGGTGTTTGATCAGTCGACTTTGTTCTTTGATGAGGATTTTCATTGGTAATCCTTTTCTCGCCTTTTAGGCTTTTCAATTTGTTTCTTGTTTTCCCTAATTTTTGCCTGGATAAATTCTTTTGAATTTTGATTTGGAAGTCCAGCGGGATGCCCCAATTTTTGCCTAAGCGACTTGTTTTCAATCTTCGACTTAGCGGGGATTTTTGTTTCTTTCTTATCCGTATTTTTTCATTTTGAACAAGTCATTGATCTTTGCGTTGTTTTTGATTTGTCGGAAGTGATCGTGACTGCCTGAGTCTTTGGTATCGTCATTTGTTGACCTCCTGATGTGCGAGAGATACCCATTGGGATATATTCAAATAGAGGCACGTTGTTGTCAGATGAGGATTAATTATTGTGGTTTTTGACTTTCCTCAACCTTTGCTGGATAACCATTGTTGTATCCTTGGATGCACACTCTTGATGAGTTCTGAATGCTTGATCAGACTAGCTGAACACTACCCGCCCCAAGGTTAAAATGAGGGTTTTTTCTGAACAGAAAGGAAACTCCTACTTCGAAGGCTCATAGGGGTTGACGAGGGTCTATCTCCCTTATATCTCCGGTGTTTGGGGATTGAAACAAGGCATGTACATCGTCAGCAGGGTCTTACTCAAAAGCGTACCAACCAGAGATTTTGCGTTTTCAGATTGTCGTCATCCTCCTTTGAATCTTTACCTAAGCATAAGACTAGGAAATCTGGCATCAATATGCAAGTAAAACATTTAAAGAGTGATAACGAATGGATGAGTAAAAATGAAATGATCACTTCAAGACAAGCATATTTATTGCATTAAGATTTTCGTTCAAAAATAGACAAGTTTCTATATACAAGCAATGTTTAAACAAACAAGCAAGAATGCAAATGAAAATGCAGTCAAAGAAACCAATGGTTGCCATTGTTGAGGAGACTTGACTCCGTATGGACTTGCTGATTCTGACGACTTTTTGTAGTCTTGAAGCTCGAGTGTGCGAGAGAATCCCCTTTCAGATTTGATGTGAACACAGTAGTCTCTGGATTGAGCCTGTCTTGGACTTGGTCTCTGGATGACATACCATCTTCAATCGATTGGCCAGGTGCCCCAGTATAATATGCATCACCAAGCACATCATGTCTCAAAGAAATAATAGACATCATTATCAGAGTTTCCATGAACTGGCTTATCTGACTCTTTAATCCATTATCTTCCTGCCTGAAGAAGTTTCTGACTATGAGCCAAAGCTTGCATGTACCACCCAGAGTTATTCCATAGCTGGTCTTTGAGCATGTGTGGAGAGAAATCAGGTTGAACCTTTGAAGAGAACCCCAGGTCTGAATAAGAATCCCCAATCTTCGGATATCTATAATGAATGCATGAATATGCATGGGGTGCATGAATGGATGCCATGTCATGTTCTGTCATTTCCAAGGAGTTTGCGTGCTTTGGTTTTGATTTCACGCAAGTAAGAGATGGAAGAGTTTAGCACAAGGCTTGCGAATGTGATTCCTTGGAGATAATAGAACATGTATGTTAAGCATGTAGTTAGCTATGTTATGTATGCAAAGGCATGAGATCACAGAGGATCATGGTTCCATCATTCCTGAATAAGGTTGTTGCACTGCTCTGGATCATGTGAGTATCATCATATCAGAGGTCCGACATAACTTCTGCATATATAAGCACCAAGTACCCTGTGGACCTCCCATTGTCCGGGATCAAGGCTTCTGGAACATTGGATACTGTTGAGAATTTTTGAACATGCTGGGAATACCAAGATTGAAGGATTGAATGAACCTCCAGGTAAACAAGTCAGGATCTCAGAAAATAAATCTGAGAACCATACGGTCACCACAAGATATAGCATCTGCATTAAGTCTTAACAGAAATCCAGAATATAGCAATTAGAATCAGTAGTCATTTTCTGAGCATAGTTACCATCTGAACACGAGTAACCATTTGCACATAGTCACCATCTGTACCTGTGATAGAAATTCCCTCCCCACTCACGGGTGAAAACTAGGTCAGGGTAAGATAATGGTAACTCGAAAATCATGGGTTCGCCTGAAAGTGCTATGGGCTTGCCCACAGACGTGGGTGCCGATAGTAATTCATTTGAACCTCATCCGAGCGTGGTATATGACATGACTGCACTAATCGGACCACGTCCTATAGCCGTCATGCCCCCACTCTATTCCTAGGTGTCCTAGTGCACTCTGGCCTGGGTACTGGGCCTTTTACCTCAGTAGTGACATCCCCACCCAACATAGAGAACAGAGTCCAGCACAATAGATAACAAATATGGAAAGTCATAAAATGCAATGCAAACTTATGCTCAGATAAACATGTACAAATGAGTAAACTGGAAGCATAAAAATAAACACCCTAAGGAAAGAAAACAAGAGCTAGGAGCGACTCCGGGATGGACCAGCATTTGGTCGACCTATTCCCCAGTGAAGTCGCCAGCTGAAACAACCGGCTGAAAATCATAAAACAATGAAGTCGCCATCGAACGTCTTTTATCCCACATGTAGGGAAAGGTAAACATCGAGAAAACCTGATGAGGGAGAAGTCACGGTCTTGCGACCGAGAGATCGGGTAAGGGAGTCTGTTACGCGAGGGGAAGGTATTAGCACCCCACACGCCCGTAGTACTCTACGGTATCCACTCTTGTTATCTATCTTATGGGTGTGTTTAATCTATGCTTACTGTTTACTACTGCTAAGGGGAGAATGTATGCAAAAGAAAGGGGAAAAGAATGTAGGGAAAATAAAATTGTGCTCGCTTGGGCCCTACCCCAATGCCTACGTATCCTTTTTAAGGAATCAGAGCTACCGTAGTTCGGCTCACATTTTTTTGTTTGTTTTGTGTTTTTTGCGGACGAAGTTAATTCCTCCTTCTGCCGCAGCTCGACCTTTGGAGACTTATGCGTTGGCACAGAAGTAAATTAATTGTGTCCTTACCTGAAAAGGGTTTTAAGAAAGGGTGCTCGAGCGCACAAAAGATTTGAATTTGTTTTGTATTTTCGTTGTAGATGATGACTGATTGACCTCAAGAGAGAGATATTAGCCATTTTTCTACTAAGTCATGAAAGGAATCTTTGAGAATTGAACCACACCTATGCTTGAGATGAAGAACAATGAGATCGAGAAGAGACCCGCTTATCATTTCTCGTACTAAGCAAAAACATGATTCTCATCAATAGTTTTAAAGTGTTTTGAATTTTGAAAGAAAAGAAGTTTTAGTTTTAGGTGCGAATGCAAAAGGAGAAAGAAAAGTCAGAAGGAGACTAGCTTACTTCTAAACCTAATGTTATTATGCGTTAGTAGCCATAAGATTTAGGTTAAAGGGGAAATTTCTACCTGATGTTAGTATGCATATGGATTTGCGATAAAGTACGGAAATGAAGAATAAAATAGATTTGCGACGATACCGAACAGAGAAGGTCCGTTGCCTCTTCAAAATTGTGCAAGCGGTAAGAAAAATCTATCAAAGTTCCCTTGGGCAAGTGATTGAAGAATTCACCCCGAGTGTTCCACATTGCAAGAGTTATGTCGACGCTACAAAAAGTCTTGACTAGAAAATGACAATAAAATGATTATCGAATATGAAAAATAAAATAGAAAAATTCTAATCGAAATTCTAAAAAGAAATTCTATTCTAAAAATATTCTATTATTTTTATTGTTTTATTATTGATTAAAAAAATTAAACTAAAAGAAAAAACTAAAACAATAAAAGAAAAGAAAAAAAATTAGAAGAGTTAGGGGGTATGAAGTCTAGAAATGTGGGTGTTGAAGTAATTTGCCCAAAAGATTTTCAACATTTTTATTTATTATTTTCTTAATTATAATTGTTATTAATTTGAATTAAGAATAATAAAACAATAAGACAATTAAATTAAAAAGAAAAAAGTATGGAAATTGGAAAAGGGTTAGGTTTAGAGAAAAATGTCTTCTTCTTTTCTTGCAAGCGGCGGCGTGATGCCGTCCTCTTCCTGCTTTTTCTTCTTCATCCGTCAACGGTGCTACCTCGCTTTTGTTTCTTCATCCTCTCCATGATAGCGCGACTCATCAACCATCTTTGTTTAGCCACCGTATTCACTTTGCAAGGTTGCGATTCTATTCTTCTAACAAACGATGCTTCTTCTCTGTCCATTCTCTGTATCAATAAGGGTTTGGCCGCCACAAGAACTTCATCTTCTCCAATTCTTCTTTTATTTGATTCCGCGTCGCTCAAGCTAACCGTCTCCTTCGAGTTAGCGATTTCATCCCACTCAGCCTTCGTATGGCACTGTCTCAAGTATGTGTATCTTTTCAATCTCGGCTCTGTCTTCTTTTACTTTCTATTCTGCTTTTTTCGAGTTTGTTGTTGTTACAGATTGTTGCGTGAGGAAGATACGATAATGATATTGATGAGTGCTGAAATTGTTGTTTAAAGAAGATGTAGGTTGAGAAGATATTGATGAAAATGTGTTGATATTGCAGATATGTTGATGATTATGAAGAATCAGTGAAGCGCTTCATAGAAGAGTGAGGTTCTATTATGGATGTGGATTTGATGTTGTTGATTGAAAGAGAGGAGTTGCTGCAATTCGTTGAAGGTTGAAGTATGAATCGCTGTGTTCTTGATGTTGCAGAGAGGAAGACAGTTATGGAGGCGAGAGAGTGATAAAGATGTGAAGAGGTTTTCCTGAGAAATTTTTCATGGCCATTCTTCTGAAGTGATGAAGGAATGATTGTAAAGGTGAGCTTTTTTTCTGTGTTGAATATCCTCTCTATTCTGTCCACCCTATGCATATGCTAGAAGTTGTTTTTATAGTTAGGAGGTTAGAAATTCTGTTAGGTGGTTATTCTGTTAATTGGTTAGGATTTAGAGAGGTTGTTATAAATTGGTTAAGAGGTGGGAAAAAAAGGAAAATTGGTTACAGTTGAGTTCGGTTAGGAGTTTATATATTATGTTTGTTATTTAATTACAGGTCATGTTGCTGTAAGTTTTTTTTGCTAGAAGTTCAAAACGGATATCTCTTTCACAGTTCATGGTTCTTGTGTGTATCTTGAATATTTGTGTCCTGCTCTCTAAATCAGGAAGGCCAAATTCAACTTTATGATCGAATCGCCCAGGCCGCAATAGTGCTGGATCCAAAGTGTCGGGCCTGTTTGTTGCCATCAAAACTTTGATGTTTCCTCGGGCATCAAACCCATCAAGCTGATTCACAATTTCAAGCATAGTACGCTGAACCTCGTTATCACCGCCAACTCCTTCATCAAATCGCGCACCTCCAATTGCATCAACTTCATCAAAAACGCAATGCATGCCTTCTTTGAACGGGCCATCTGAAATAGTTCACGAACCATCCGAGCCCCCTCACCGACATATTTCTGAACAAGCTCACTTCCAATGACTCTAATAAAACAAGCATCAGTCCTATTGGCAACAGCCCTGGCTAATAGAGTTTTGCCAGTTCCTGGTGGACCATAACAAAGCACACCCTTTGGAGGATCAATTCCGAGCTTGGCAAATTTCTCAGGATGAAGCATGGGAAGTTCAACAACTTCACGCATCTTTTCAATCTGCTCCTTACAGCCACCAACATCATTATATGTCACATCTGGTTTCTCTTCAACTGTCATCATGGTAACACTTGGATCAATTTTTGGAGGCAAAGGAATCTGAATCTGATATTTGTTTCTATCAACACCAACACACATTCCTTCCTCTATGTCTGTGGGGGAAACCTTGTCTCCTAGTCCTACAACAAACTTTGCAATCTTCTTCACATTGATGACATATTTGTTTACGATTTTTGTGATGTGTGTGTTGAATGCGTTAGTCGAGAAGAAAGTTAAGAAAAGTTGTTAGGTGTTATAATAGTTTTGGTTAGTTATGCTGTTAGAAGTTAGGGAATTGGTTATGGTAATTGGAAGTGTAGTGTATGCGGTTCATGCTTATGATAGTTTATCCAATGTTTTGCAGGTTTGGTTCATATCGGGGCTATTGGGAAGCAAAGGCAAGAGGAAAACACCAAGATGATATGCAGTTGGAACAAAGACGCATAACACGAAGTTCTGGAAGCTTGAAGTTTGAAACATGAAGAATGATTGAAAATTAGGATAGGTTTTAGTAAAAATGTATAGATGTTATGTATAATTGTAATGGAATTTGGACTTGTATGTATTTGAATAATTGTAATGTATGTTGACTTTATTTCCACATAATGAAATGGCCTTTGTATGAATTCAAATAAACGGTATGAATCCGAAATATTTGCAAGGTAATCCAAAAGAGACATGAATCTTGAATGAATCCAAGAGAGGCTATTTGGACAATATTTTGATGGTTGGATGAATTTGATACATGCTTTTTCATACTTGTGGTTTGAATTTCAAGAAAAGCCACACAAATATTTAAGAACTTTGATTTTCTCCAAATCCACTCCAAATATTAATGAATGAATTCTAATCAAACCACAGCTTCAGTGAATCCCTAATTCAATTCAATTTTTCGATCTGAACCAAATTTGCGTGTCAAGCAATAAGCATTTGAAATAATGACATCTTGATCACAATCAACATCTTGTACCATGTCCCGACTATATGAGCACTAGAACAACGACGTCTTGGACCCCTTCTCAATAGATGATAATGACTATGCTCCGAGGGATTCCTTGCAGATGAATATGAAAGATGAGACATGCGAATACCTTGATATGGAATGAGCCTCAGGTAGAATGCTGGCAAGCTCAAGTATAAAAATGTATAAACCCTGATTTTTAGCTTCGTCTCATAAAACCTTGCAACTTGACATTGAGAAGAAAAGAATAGCATCGTAGCTTGATGATGATAAGGTCCATGAAATGAAAACCTAGCTTCAAACAGATTGTTAATGGAGAAATCAACCGAAACAAGCTTGTGCGAAGATGGGAGCCTTAAAGCCATACACCAACCCTTATTCCTCAAAATCCGTGATCTTATGCCAATTTATTGATTAATGATGCATGATGTGTTAGATGACCTAATGTGAGAAAAATGCAAAAATGCGTAAGCCAGATAAAAGTAAAAGGGTAGGACAAATTTGGGGTATTACATCCTTATTGCCGAGAAGTTATGAGATATTCCATGTTCTCCATAAAATTCTTCAAATAGAGCATTTTGAAATTCTCCGCCATGATCACTTCTTATGAAGGCAATTGTTAGAGACTTCTCATTTTGAATTTGTTTAGCATACTTCTTGAACGCCTTAAATGCATCACTTTTATGCACTAAAAAGAATGTCCAAGTATATCTAGAGAAATCATCAACAATAACCAAAGCATATACATTACCTCCCAAACTTCTTGTTCTTTATGGACCAAATAAATCCATATGCAAGAATTGTAGTGGCCTTGTAGTAGACACCACATTCTTAGATTTGAAAGTTGATTTTGTTTGTTTCCCTTTTTTGACAAGAATCAAAAAGTCTATCTTTGACAAAATTTATCTCAGGCAACCCAATGACAAGATCATGCTTGATTAGTTTATTCAAGTGTCCCGTGTGAATATGAGCAATTCTTTTGTGCCAAAGCCATGAATCATCGTTGTTCTCCATGAGACATTTTACCTTCAAAGATGGACCATCAAGGGAAATCATGAATATTTATTAATTCTTTTACCTTTAAGTATAACCTCATGTGTGACTTTTTCTTCTATCAAGCATTCATCTTTGGAGAACTTGAAGCCTTTGTCACAAATTTGGATAATACTAAGAAGGTTGTGCTTTAATCCTTCAACATAAAGAACATATTCAATGTATGTGAAAGGTGGAGCACCCACTTTGCCTTTGCCAAGAATTCTTCCCTTATTATTGTCTCCATAAGTGACAAAACCCTTGGCCTTTAGAGCTAGATTTGAATATTGGTTTATGTCTCCCGTCATATGCTTTGAACAACCACTATCAAGATACCAAAGATTGCATGTGGTCTTCAATAATACCTACAAAACAAATTAGGTTTTGTTAGGTACCCAAGTTACTTTGGGTCTTTCATAATTAGTACCTTTATTTACCCACACATAATGCCCACTTGCCACACTAAAGTTTATAACATAGAAAGCATTAAGTGTATGGCCTTTAATACCACAATAAAAACAAGTAGGTTCAAAGTTACTTCTATATCTAGAAGAATAATATTTCTTCTTAGGAAATGTTTTCTTTTTAGGATAGTGATGAACCACTTTAGGTTTGTTCACTTTCTCTTTGGATGATTGATCACTAGCCTTAACAAAGATAGTTTTATTAGAACTTGGTTTTGAAAACTTTGAATATCCAATTCCACTCTTATCATTGGAATATCTTTGTTGGCTAAGAACACCTTCCAATCCAATTTGACCTTTTTCATATCTTTCAATAACTCTTTTTAATTGGACAATTTGGAAAGAGAGTGATTCACAATTTTTGCATACAAAATTCTGTTTTTGTTCATCACTTAATTTTTGTTTTTCTTCTTTGAAATATTTTTCCATAGTTTCACATTTTTCTTCTAAAGATGAAATTTGTTTCTTTTGAGATGAAATAGTTTTATATAGAATTTTGCATTCATTTAATAGTTTATCTATATCACATTGTGCATCACTATCAAAAAGAGAAAATTCATTATTAACCTCATCATCTTCATTATCGGAATGGTGTGAGACCATCAATGCTAGATTTTCACTTTCATCACTATCGGAATCAGACGAAGAACATATTTCATTATCCTCCCATGCAACATAGGCCTTTTTGTTCTTAAATTCCTTTCTACTTTTGTAGCCACCTTTCTTGGAGAGTTTTGGACAATCCGGCTTGATATGACCTTGCTTACCGCATTCATAACATGTAACTTCTTGTGTTGATGTGGAAGCTTCTATTTTCTTAAATTGTTTCTTTCTTTTTGCAAGAGAAAGGGATTTGTCATTTCTACCAAAAAACATACCAAGCCTTTTACTAAGAAGCATGGAATTTTCATCTTCTTCCGGATTGTATTCCTTTTCAACTTCCTTGGAATCAATTTTTAAGGCAATATTCTTGGATTTCTTCTCTTGATTTTCATGCTTTTCAAGTCTTCCGAGTTCCATTTCATATTCTTGAAGTTTTCCAAACAACGTTGCGGAAGTCATTAAGGAGAGACTTTTCTTTTCTGAAATTGTCGTTACCTTTGGTTTCCATTCCCTAGTTAAGGACCTAAGTACTTTCATATTTAGTTTATCATTCGTCAAAGTCTTACCAAGATCACTTAGATGATTTGTCAAGTGCATGAAACTCTTTTGCAAGTCAAGGATGGTTTCTCCGGGCTGCATTCAAAATAACTCGTATTCTTGAGTCAAAGTATTTAGTCTTGATCTTTTAACTTCAATAGTTCCTTCATGAGTTTGTACCAAGGTATCCCATATTTCTTTCGATGTTTTGCTTGTGGAGACACGGAAGAATTCATCCATGCTAAGTGCACCTTGGAAGATTTATTGCCTTTTTATCATAGAGAACCTTCTTCTTATCATCTTCATCCCATGCAACTTTTAGGATTTGATGAGCCAGCACCATTGATTACCGTTATAGGAATAAATGGACCATTCTTGACGACATCCTATATTTCTTCTCCTTGTGCTTCTAGATGTGCCTTCATGCGTATTTTCCAGAAGTCAAAATATTCACCACAAAATAGAGGAGGCTTGTTGTTACTACCACCATCTCTGAAAATGGGATTTTGATTTGCGGAATCCATTTTGGATCTTTTAGGAACAAGTTACCTGTAACCTGCTCTGATGTCAATTGTAAGTACGAAGTGCGCCTAAGAGGGGGGTGAATTAGGTACTTTAAAATTTTTCTGGCTTTAGTGATGATGGATATTATTTTTCTGGTTTTATGATGAGTTTATGAAAGAGTAAAGTGCGGAAAAATAAAGAGACACAAGCGATATATCTTGGTTCCCCTCACAGTCCGAGAGTACTCCAGTCCCCTTTCGACATGAAAGAGATTTCCTTATTGTGGTAAACTTAAACAAGAACTACCCAAAACCAATAACAATCCTCTTGGACCAAGAACAATCCTCTTGGATTTTCACTATGTCAAAAATGATAACAATCCTCTCAAAGTGACTTTACTTGTATCCAACAATCTTGGAAAAACAAGATTTACAAAACCACTTGAACTTATTTTCAACAATCCTGAAAAATAAGCAAGTATATAGAAATATTTGATTTGAGTGAGTTTGTGCAGCAATGATTGCTTTGAGTGATTATATCAATAAATTGATCTTCTCTTCCAATGACAATAGTATACAATGACTCAACATATATAATGCTCAAAGTTTTCTGGTTGACAATATGTGAAAGTATGCAGAAAACTTGTGTATGAAAATGTATAACAACTTGAGTTTGATTTTTGAAAATTCAGAAAATATGATTGGAAGAGGTACTTAAAATGATTTTGAAAATGAGTATTTATATGTTCATAGCACCCTTTTGAAACATCATATAATTTTGCAAATGAATCATGAACAATTGCCAAGATTGAGTGAAAGGTTTCCATGAAATGGTGTTATGAACAGACATGAGTAAAGTTGTTGTTTTTCAAAATCGTTCAGCATGCAATCAAATGCACCGTTGTATAAATCAATTGCACGGGGTTTTAACAGCTAAAAATTCAAATATTTTGAGTGAGAAATCGAATGCACAATTGTGTAAATGGATTGCACTTGAAG